GAACATATTTGACGAAGATTCCATGAAAAATTGAAATTTTTGGACAACATATAGAATGAAAAAATGGATAGATTCTTGTATAATGCAGCTTTTCTAAGAAAACTGAGCCTGCTTTGCAAGAAAAGAAAAAACATTTATCCTTACTTTTTCGCCGCGATCAGCTGTTCATTGATCCTCTCCCATTAAGGCCGCCGAAATTGTGCAGTTTCGGGAGTTTTGCGCCGCAACAATATGTGGCTAAATTGTCCCGTAAGTTACTCACGAGCGACTTACAGGAGATTTCTCTATTTCTTCTCTTTTGCACACTCTCTTCCCCTCTCTGTCTTGGGTCACCCTAAAAAATCATCTCCGGCTAAGTGCATTCTGGTGAACTGACTGTGACACTTGACGAGACAGTCTTCTGACTGTTCAACTGAGTATCTCAAAGCATGGGCCAGTCTTCTGACTGTTCAACACATGGGCGGGATTAGGGTCACCCTAGGAAGTTCTTCTGAATCGGAGTCTTCTGACTGTTCAACTGAGTATCTTAAAGCACGGGCACAAGGGCGGGATTAGGGTCACTCTAGGAAGTTCTTCTAAATGATTCATCTCAAGTCAACTGGTTTACCACGGGTCATAATCCTGATATATTTGATCAATAGTGAATGAACATTGAGTTTCACGTGTACTAATCAAAAAGACCTGCACTCTTAGGCGTAGAACAAGGAACTGTTATGTAGAGCAGTAATAACCTCTATTATGGCTACTTGCAAGAAGCGTGGGATTTGGCACTGCTGGTATTTTTGTCTTTTTTTTCCAATTTGCGATTTGAGTGTCATTTTGTCTAAGACGACATTTTAACATTTAGCTACGCTAAATTTGCGCATCTGGAATACTAATTTCATACAAACGACTCTGACTCTTCTAGAATCACTTTCGAATTTTTCATTTACGCCCACTTTTAGAAGACCTTCTCGCAGGTGCTGTCACTGTTGGAAGAGTTATTGTTGATTATCGAATAACTTGCAGAATTTCTTCTGGGCAAACTTCAATGATGCCGAAAGCTTATGTGTCACTCTTGGAGCACATTTGGCTTCAATCCACAGCTATGAAGAGAATTCTTTCGTAGCTGGTAATCTATCTTGTTTTAGTCCAGTGTCGAGTACTATGTTTCGTAATCTAGATTTGGCAAGGACGGGCAATGCCATTAGCGGTTCTCCGCAGACAACTTGGATAGGACTGGTACGAGCTGATTATCTGTGCAGCAATTGGACAGCAAAATGGATATGGATGGACGGTACAGAGGTCGACTATCTTGCATGGGATATTGGTCAGCCAGGATGGGATATTAACAAGCCGTCACAACAAAATTGCGTAGAGGTACCATTTCCATATATCAAGCGATTTGACAACAAGCAATGTTTTTGAAGTGATTAAGACCGAAAACTGATTCCCTTATACGACTTAAACGTCGTTGATTGTGCTGGTCTTAGGCTGCCTTCATAACGCGCCCGCAGCCGCCGCTAGCCGCCTGTAGCCGCCTTTGCGCTTGTCACAGTATTTCGAGGCTTTACGAAACATGAAAAGGTTAGCTATCTGTAGTCAGCATTTTGAAATAACCCCAGTAAACCAAATTTGAGCAAGATCTATGGTTTTGAATGTGTGCCTCGGTTTCCGGGACAGTGCGCAAAAGCGGCTAGCGGCGGCCGCTTTCGCGGTATGACGCCACCCTTAGGCCTTAATCAAAAGCCTTTTTTAGACACTCAGTGGAAAACTTTCTATAGTTGAATCTCAGTACTTCTGTGAGGTGCAATACTTGAACTCTATCAAACTTTATGAAACATGAAGATCATCTTACACGAAGAACTATGCCGTTCATAACATTGCTGGTATCTGTTCAGTCGAGAATTTCTTTCTAACTGCTCAACGGTCGATCAAATAACCTACTGTATCATCCATACTTTACTGCACATATTTTCTAGGAATGAATGTTCCAGCTTTTTCCTTGCAATCCCAAATGTAGTTTGCGTTGCTGCGTGATTATTCAATTACAAACATCATTGAGCTCGTCTAAAAAAGCAGGAAAATGATGCAAACTATCTATCGAATGTGCATTGCATCATATCCCTATGACTATGAGCTGAATACGTGCAATTCTGCGCAGAAATGTGTTAAACAATAATCACTTTGGAACAATATTTTTGCTCGTATTGGAAGTTTTTTAGACTAGTCAAATCGACCGATAAAACAGCGCCTGCGCTTTGATGAATGTTCATGCCTGTAGCGCTTACAAATTGCGTCCGAATTGCCATGAAGGCTTCCGAGATTTACACCTTAAAGCCATTGATTCGTGCGCATGTGTGCGCACCGCAAAGCTTTTAATAATTCTTAAAACTACTGACTGTCCGCTATGCCCAGACAAATACCAAAATCAATGTAGC